CCCAGTGTTTGGCCTCTAATTGCCCCTATGAATGTCAGGTAGGAGGTAGGTTTATAAGTCGGAGACAACACAAAGCAATAGTGTGCTACTGTGCTCTTAATTATTGTTATAAAACAATTACTTACATTTTAAAGATATATTTCTTATATTGAATATTTGATTATGATTCTCTCGACCGTTGACGCTATTTTAGATAAGTTTTGTCTTATGTCTCGTAGTCCAAATTATCATTATTATTAATTTGTATTACAATTTACAATAATATAATAGAAATGGTTTAGTAAATAAACTATTTGAAAGTTGCAAAATATTTTAATTTTATAATACGCGTGCCTAAAGTTAAAATATTCTATTTCGCATAATTTTCTCATCGGAGAATTAGAATTTTATATGTAAACCTGAAGACTACATTTAATAGGTAACGATCATTTCTAACTACGATTTCGACATAGGTACTTTAGACATATAGAATTACAATATATTATATACCAGATACCTATATATATTTTAAGTTTTAACAATTAAACGAATCATACAAAAATGTGAACTATTATAATAATATCGATAATTAAGCCTTGAGAATATTTATTTATAACATTCTGGATGATATGCAATGACCGGTGAAAGACGAAAGAATATCAAAAGAAATGCTTCAATGAGTCATAGTCGTACGAACTTCATGGGTATATAATATGTATGACCCTCCCACATTCCTATGCGTAAACATCCTAATAAATAACTCTTACATAACTGCTGCTCTGGACCGACTCTGTACCGATAGAAGGTATACATTACAAATAATCATATGCCTAGTAAATAAAGAAACCGGTTATTTCAGTTTTTGTCATTTCGGTTTCGTTGGAATTTACTTTTATTGTAATATTTAATATAGGTACTTATAAGTTATAACTCCTTTTTACCCTTATGGATGTTTATCGTATTGATGGTTTATTTCTATCATTTATCGATTAAGTTTAGGCTCGGTTGTATATTTTTTCATTATTATATAGGTGGTAAAAGATATGATCTTGACATTTTAAAAGAAAACATTTGGTTTTTTAACGTTTATACTTTATATCACCTATTATATATATAAAAAAATCAATCGTTGATGTATTTTATGTAGGTACTTGTTAATACTTTTAACTAACAATTTCAATGCAGTTGGATACTATAGGGTCAATACTTAAAATAAAGTAATTTTACTTGTAGGTGTGTTATTTTTAAGTGGAATTTTATAAAATTAGTGATACGTATTAACATCATGTTGATATTGAAATTTGAAATATTTAAACATATTATATTATACTAAGTACCTACTAGCCGTCTAGCCACTAGGTATGTTATATGAATATTATTATGTTATACATAAATCATTCAACAGATAAATGTTTTTAATTGTTTCATAACATAACATCGTGTTTTGACATATTGAAACTATTTTGTAATAGTTTATAGTCCCCTCACATGCTTTTGAACTATTAAGTCTATAACAATGGTAATTTGTTTTTAATATAAATAAATAATAATAATAATAAATAAATAATAATAATAATAAATAATAATAATAATAATAATAATGTATGGTTTGGTTATTTTTCAAACGGACGGATACTAAGTAATTTATGATGTTATAACTGGAAATTAAAGAAGTATTTGTACTTGTAATAATACTTTATTTATTTTATATATTATATTATATTTATGCTTTATCATATAATCATTATATTCATTAATTAGGTACCTACTACAATTGTGTGGATAATAGGTGCCTACTGCCTATATACATTATATATATTAATATATTATAACTTATAAGTAGGGCTCAGATTTATATGTATTTACATAACCAAAGTATGTATTTATACAATAAAAATATGTACATAAATATGTGCTAAAGAATTCAACAAAAAAAATAATCAATTGCTATCCATTTTTTACTAGCAGTAGGTACAATACAAAATGTGACTGTCACTTTGTAAATGTTCATTTGGATATTCAGAAATATATTTTATTGCTTTGCAAGTTTTAGACTATCTTACTTTTGGCATTACCTATTGGTAATATACATGTAAAATATAACGAAAAACGAGGCCACGAAACACACACTACGATGTCACATTAAAAACTACACACTCATCTCAGTGTTCGCTCGTTTAACGTGTTTAAAAATGTGTTAATCGTAATACATTACGATAAGATATCTGATATTTCAATCGATAAAATCGTATCTATAAAATAATTGAAAATATAACAGGTTGAGTGCCACGGTCGTTTAGCCAAGTCAAAAATGCGTGAACCTGAACTCTGAAGAAAAAACGTTAAAACAGTAAAATTGTTTAAATATGTGAAAAAAATTGAATAATTGTGAAATATGTAAAAACATGTACCTATTTATGACAAAATATGTAGAAATATGTAAAATCAAATATAGCCCATTTTCTCAAAAATCTTGTGAAACGAATTTATCACTTGCCGAAATTAGTTTATCATGTCGCAGAGAAAATATGTATTTACATATAAATCCGAGCCCTACTTATAACTTATAAGTACCTATTAAGAATATTTAACTAGAAGTGATTTTACATTATACATTTATTATGTCTTGTATCAATATATCATTGATTATAAATACTATACTGTGCTAGTAGTTATAAATTATAGGTAACCAATAGTTGTATCTTGTTTGTACATACTGACACACTGTCATACTCAAAATTTGATGTTGGTATTCAAACAAAATAAAAAGTTTATATCATGAATTTCAAAATTTTGGATGCAACTCCTTTCGCACAAAAATCACAAAAATGACTTTCCACTTTTCGCACACGTCCTCTTTTCAACCAAATATTATGATAAAGTTATTTCCTCTCTTCGCCTAAAAATGATTGCATTATTTTTTTTGCTTAGGGTTTCTGTTCATAATTTACGGAAGCATTGTTTTAAAATTAGTTTAATAAAGTAATTAAGCATTAACCATAGAGTTTTGATTAATTTAATTTTAATGTAATTTTTATTGGCCTTATATAATGGTCTATGGAGAATTGAGGTGTACAGATTTTTGTTTACGTACTGCGTTTACTATTTGGTGATTAATATTCGATTTATCATATTCCAACTGTTGAAATAAATGCATTATTTTTAACTGTGAATAATTTAGTATAACACGCGTTCTTGTACTCCAACGGGTAGAGGAGTGTTTATTTTTAGTCAATCCAAAATTGTACTTATAAATTTACAATTACTGTAAAGGATTATAATATGCGCATCCCAAAATGTTGAACATAATGAAATCTTGGGGGAAAAAATGAAAAAAAAAAAATATTAATTATTAATTTCAGTATATTATATTCCCGTAAAATAAGTTATTACAATGCTAAAAAATTATAAACAAATGCATAACTAATCGATAAACAAAGAATTGCAGTGATTTTTCAATAGATATTAAATACTGTGTAAGAGTGTAAGACTGCTACAACATTCTACAATATACAAGTATAAGTAAAATAAAATGCTTAAGTTAGATAGTGTTTTAAAATATTGTAAAAATTTAAACCTGTATTATACAATTTTATACTATGAAGTATGGTAATATTATGTACTTCATCTAGTAATTATATTATTATACATACTATAAATATTGGTATTGTTTACTACAAGTTTGACACATTTACGGTAAGTTAACAGTATGTCAGTATCTACATAATATGGTACCTACAGTGTTATAACTTATATTGGATTTGGATCAATTCAAAGATTTATGATTTTATAAGTTTATAGCGGTTGTATTTTGCAAAGAAATTTTCATTTATTTTTTACATACGAGTTTATTTTTGTACATTATATACAAATTATAACTTGATAGTATAGTTTTAAAATAATTTAATTTAAGTAATTGCTTACATTGGTAAAAAAAAAACATCAAAGTATTTTTATGATTAGGTGTATACATCATGTAAAATATTGGTAAAAAAATAATTATTTTATATCAATTTAATTTTGGCATCTGATTCTAATCTGTTCTAAATTTTTTTATGACATTGAATTGATTTATTTTGATGAAAAGTATTCTTCTGATTATTGGATTATTTGTACAATTGTACAGCTTTAGTAATAATAATAACAAGGAAGTTAATATCTTTATTCTATAGCCATAATTAATTGTAATTAACATAATATCAGTATGTCGTTTTCTGTACCGTATTGCACTGTTACTGTAGAGCCATATTGTATAGGACAACGACGAACAAATATGCTGCAATTAATGAATAAATATTATGCAATTATCCACAATAACAATCGTCAAAATATTTAAAATAATATTTCCTAACTATATGAACGGAAACAACGAACACTAGGCTATATATGGAACATTCCAAGTTGTAATAATCTCTGTACTCCATGTATATACTTTTTGTATACGTATTCCCTATTATTATTATTATTATCACTTAAGTGTTTATGTGTCAAACTGACGTACTTAAAAAATTTCATATAATTAACAAATATAAAGCCATATGGGTAACAGTTTTCTCCTGTTCGGACGCACGCACGCACTCACACATGCGCTAAAACGAAATAAAATGAAATTTATCCCATAACAATATTTGCGCGTAATCGCGTTTAGTGCGTCACTAAAAAAAACACTATCACTCATGTACATGTATAGTACAGAATTAGAATACCTATCCGAGTGACCGGTTTGTTATTATACTCTGGAGAGCGGACAAATTGCAGACGACAGTCGTCAGCCGTTGCATCTGACTCGCATTCAGCGCCGCGTCGCCTCAGAGTGCGCATGTCTATTATACCTACCTAATATACTTGAACTTGTTTTTATGAAATTAAATATCGTCGCCGTCGTCACAGACTCGTATATTTTGTGGTTGTTTAATCTATATTATATTCGTGCACGTTCCATCAGCCGTTCTTCGTTATTTAATTTATTTGTCACCGTGTACCTATATATTTAATATAATTTTCACTCGAATTTCTCAATCATGACTACCACAGCTGCCGTCGAAGCGTCAAAATTGGACCGTACCGATCCCAGAGTGCGAAAACTTGTGTACAACATGTACAGAAACGTTTTGGGGAATTATAACGATAAAGCCAACGCTATGTTGGACGCGTTGCCTGAACACCAGGTGACCCAAGACCAAGGGATCGATCGACAGCTATCCAGTATATTGTAAGTCTACGAGGGATTTGTTGCCTGCAACCGGATGTTAATATATATTAAATTAATACAAATTAAGAAAAATAACAATTTTTATTTTTATTGATACTCCTATACCTCTATACTATAATAAATATATATTATACGCAATTAAATATAATTTTCGGTAGGTATATATGCACCCGTTTTAGAAATAGTTATGTCCGTAGGTACAGCTGGAAATGTTTTTTTTTTTTCGGCACTTTATTGTCATTTTCTGAGCACTGATCTTTCGACAATTTTGTTCATACAGCTGTTCACACCTAAACCAATATCATTTAATGACTGCATCAATTCCGATCACTTGATCCGTAGCCAACATTTGTATTATTGTTATCCTCTTTAAGATTTCAATATTATGACATCATCATTCCTATTCCATCGCAACACATTACATGTATTTAATGAGTAAATGTTATGTATGGATACATAAATTAATGTATCTTATTTTTTAGATAGATTTTCTGATATAAATTATTCTTTGTTAGGATTAAAAACATTAACATAGGTTTCGAAGACTGCCTATAGTTATATTTGAAATGGGAGTACCTACCTATCATATCTATAATTTTAGAATCGATACACGACATATTATGGAATAGCTCTCTTAAATACAATTTTAAGTCGTATTTCATGATACAATGGACTGCAGAATTTCTTGCGTTATTGTACGATGGACTTTATTTTGAAATATTATTTTAATTTTAACATAAATCATAATGCTATATTTATTTTCTGAAATAGTTTTTTTATATAATATTATTTAATTACCATAGGTTTACATAAATATACATGCAATATTAGTAAAATGTAAATTTAACAGGTACACTTAATATCTATATTTATACAAGTGGTTCTTATATGCAAATTTAAGTATTGCTATTATTATTATATCGTGCAGTACGAATAGATTATGTCATTATATATAGTACATTACTACATTACCAATATCAATTAAAAAAGTATATTATTTTTAAAATGTTTTGATTGGATATTAGGAATATTTGATTATGTCACTATGTCGGTATCTATCTTTTTAATGTAGCACGATTTCTGATATCAAATATTTATATTTAATTAATTTTAATTTGAGATCGAGGTATTCGTGAACAATTATCCTATACTTTTAATTTATTTATTTTTAGTTTAGATCAATTTAGTATTTTTTTTTTATTAATCTTGAATCTCGATTTATTAATAAGATATATTATAAGTTATAACTATACACGACATAATATGATGTACTGATGAGTCATATTGTTTGGCGCACATCCTTGCATGAGTTTATTTTTTTTAATTTATCAAGGATAGTGAAATATGTATGATGAGATCATATTCAGGAGGAGGATTTTCTCTTATGCTATTTTGAAAATCGTATAGGTAGTAATATTGTTGACTGTTGTATTTTATAATGTTGTGTTCTAAGTTGAATTATTGTGAAATATGATATATTATAATTTATAGTAGTACTTAGGTATATAATATACCTTATTCATAAACAATCATAATGATGTATAAATGCATAATTAATCAATATAATATTATTTACAAAAATTAGGTAACTATATGTATTTTTCAAAAGTATACCTAAATGTTACTTTTTCAATTCCCTCTTGTAAAAAACAATTTTTTGACATACCTAAAGAACATTATTTAATTATTTGTATACCTATATTAGTGGCAATAATGAATACTAAAATACTGCTTGGACTATTTGTTAAAAAATTCAAAATCCATGCTATATAATATTATAATGAAGGCCATCGTAACAGTCAATTTTCTAATAAAATGCCTTTGCCTTATATTGAAATTAAATTAAGTGATGGGAGTGATACGACATGCCCCTTCCATTAAGGTAATACATATTATATTAAATATTATAGTCAGGCACTTATTTAGAGTTGGATGTCGGTGTAATCGCTAATCGTAATTACAATTTATAAAGAATACATATTATATTTAGTAATTTGTTATAGTGTAGGTATATAATCAATGACGTATAACTTAAAATAATAATATATTATATACCTAATTTATAAATATCTCTTTAAAAAAAACAATTAAAATAATAACTTGTCTATTTCATATTTATTATATAAGTTTTTTTGATTTTAATGCCCCATTACTTCTCAATCTTTTGAAGATAATTTATCAACGATTTTTTTTATAGATTTTTGAACTTGACTACTTCAGTAATATAAACATGCCAAAATAAGAAGAATTTGCGTACCTACATAAATTGATTAGGCATGAATTATGATGTAAATCTGATATGCAAAAAAAATTTTTAATTTATAAATGGTATCTTCATTTTTATCGTCTTCATTGATTTGAAATTTATTTTAAATATAGTTAAATCAAATAATAATTGTCTAATAACAGATGTATTATATAAATGTTAATGTACCTACCTATTTTGTTAATATCTTATGATAAAGAATTATTTAATATTATAAAGATTTAAAACATAGGTAATGAATGTATATAGTTGAGACATCTGCAGGCTCTCTCTCAGGTTCATGGCTATAGAATAGTATAGGTAATAGGTACACGAATATATCAATATATGACTTGCGTTTATAATTTACTTTATATTTTATTATTCGGTTATTATTCTATGGACTATAGTTTAACAAGACCAATTCTTTTTTTTGTCGTTTCGGTGAACATAATTTAAATCTCATATTTCCGCGTATGTCGGTGCAGTTTCCGTTTTCCGGAGTAATAGTCAAATATAGTACAGTATAGTACCTAATCTAATCAAATTACCGTTGACCTTAACGACGCGCAATAATCGTAAATACAGAAGATATAAACAACCGGCAAAAAAATTCAACGTGAGAATAGGCAAGGTTGTAAAATACATATTATGTGTTTACTATTTGAAGAGTAAAAAACTAAACAGCGGCGCCTGTCCAAGGGCACACAGGCAAGGCTGACCCTGCAAAACGTCATACGTACCTATACAACAAACACAGATACTACAGATTACTCGTGTAGTAGCAGACGGTCGAACGGCTCTTGAGTAGCGTAAATATAATATAGCTTATTTCGGTCCAAATATGGTAGCTTGTCCCCCACAATGACAATTTCAAACACGAGTGCATAATATATAATGTACTCGAACGCTATTATTAAACCACTCGATACACAATATAACATATAGACATGGTATGTGCTGCTGTATATATACCCACATTAAAAAGCAGCAATTTTGCAGGTCCATAATCTGTATTCGCTCCAAAGATTTTAAAATTTGTAACTATTTAATAATATATAACGGTTAGGTACTATTATTATGTAGTTTGTCGTAATTATAGATACCTATGATACGATCGTGCAAAACTTGCCGCATGTATTATAATTTTTATATTATTAGATTTACTTCGCGCGTACTACTGCATAGGCTGTATAGTTTTTAATCCAACTGCATTTTATAAAAAGTGTATATTATAATATATATCAATAATTAAGTATTACCGTTTGTTGTGAAATTATTTAGGCATCAAATAGGAGTGAAAGACTTAGCCGCTGGAGATATGTCCGCACCACCCCCGCCAGCGCCGCCACCACTGCAATATTCTGGTAATAGAAATAAATCACGTTTATTAAATCCATTTAAATATAATATGGCTCTATCGTCGTGCGAACGACGTTTAGGCTTTGTTGAGAAAATTCGTAATTTAGCGTTATGTATAAATTTATGTTATTTGTTTACAGGAGGAACAACTCAAGGTGGTCCACCCCCACCGCCACCTCCACCAATGTTGCACAGTGGACACATTCCAGCTATTAGAATAAAAACTGAGGTAAATTATTACTATTGTTTATTTTGCATGTACCTATATACTTTATATTAACATCATTATAATCATAATTAATCGCAGAAAATCTGAGTACTTATTAATCATTGTTTGGTTAAGCTAAATATTAAATAACTGTTAACTTTTGAAAATATTTAAATACCTGCATTATTTTACGTTTGTATTGTTTAACTTTTATTGTCCAATAAAAAGAATTATAAAATAAATTAGTAGATTTAAAAAGTAAAAAAACTATGAACAATACAAATTAAAAACAACATTAGCCAATTAAATTTGTAGTAAAATATTATTAGGTGCTCACATAATAATAAAATTAAATATGGGTTTATAATATATTGTATATTTTCCTTTTTTATTTAATAAACTATTGTTCATTGCATTATGTATAGTATGGCAAAAATTGTGATTGTAAAGTGCCATTCGAACTAAGATAAAATGTTTTTAATTGCATTTATGTGTAACGCGTCTATGATTAAAATAAATATTTATGATGCAATTGTTTACACTTTTTAGTACGTTTTAACCATATAGTTAAACTTTAAAATCAGAACAATAATAAATATGCGGATATTAAGAATTTACCAACCATTTTTAACTATAATGTACTTACCTATTCCTGATTCATAATTTAAAAGTCAAATTATTACAATTTAAACAATTTAAAATGTAAACATTGATAGGTACTTTTTGTTTTTTAAAATTAATTATTCCGTTTAATAGGTAATAGAGCCGCTGGTTTTACTGAATTTGTTAATACCTATAATAGAGAAAATTGGTTATTTAACTATTACAAAATAAAAACCGTTCAACATAATATTAAAATAACAAATTATAGATATTCACTTTAAAAACATTTTATCTTATTGACAAATATTAAAAATACTACCCTGTATCTCTGTAGGTACCTTGCTAAATATTAATCAACATCGATAATGAATTGTTTTCAGCTGAATGAACCTAGAGAAATACCATCAACCATACAAAATGCAATGGCTACCAAAGACAAAAAACCATTTACGTATCTTCCAGGTGGATTAGACTTGAGCGAGATCAGAAGTCCTCGAATGCAAAGGCGCTTAGAAAGAAATGCCCAGACTCCACCTAGCCCGGAACATGTACCTCAAAAATCTCCTGACTATCAGCAACAACAAGAGGTGAAACCAAACTTTGAATACAAACCAGTGTGTAACGTGCGACCTGCCTCGGAAAGGGTGTGCCTGTTGCCCCAAGTTCAGCATCAACCACAGCTGAATAAGTCGCCCACTCCTTGGATGCAGAAGGCTGCACAAATTCAACCCTCCCCAGCTCCGTGGACCCAAAATAAAAAAGAATATGTTGATCAGGTGATTATTTTTAAGAACCTACCTTAACATATTATATGCCGCATTCGATTTAAATTTAAATGCAATTGAAAAAATATCATGTGCTGAGTATATTGTGTTATATTGTTATATTACATTGTGCTCTATATAGTAAAGAAATCAAATATCAAGAATTTTTTGCTATTAAAAAAAATAATTGCATATATATTTTAAAACATAGGTAGGTAGGTACTTCTTATTATAGGGGGTATTGCAATCCAGTAAAATATTTGGTCCTTGCAGACGACAGTACTTACATTTTTAAAAATATTCTTTAGGTTTAAGCGTAATTATATTAGAAATTATTTATTTATTTATTTCACATTTATTTAAATTATAATAATATATATTAAACATTTAATCTAGGATTCTGTATTTTTGGTGTTTTGGAGGGAGGGGAGGTAGATGATGGCTCGGTCTGATAATTTGTACTGTGTGAGAGGCTTTTCTAGTATCCCTCATATTGGCTCATACGTTTGGTATGCTTATGCCGCGGGGCGTGAGTATATAATATTTTAGACTTTTGCAGTAATATTCATAGAATATAAAAATTACAATTTCAATACGTCATGGTTATGTCCTACGTATAATACGTTCACAGAACACGAAAAGCATTTTTAGATTGTTCTGATATTTTGGGATGCATCTTCCCAGGCATATTGATTATTGTAGGAAATAATAAAAAAATTAATAAACATTAATTGTTTCGTATACATATTTTAATTTAATTGTCTAAAATAATTGTTTAGGTTGATAAATCAGAAGAACGAGCTGTACCAGTGCGAGTTGAAATGAATAGACAAATACCAACACAACCATTGAAGAATAATACAAACCACTCATATGATTCTGAACCGATACAAGGACGTTCATTTAAAGTGCTCCAACAAATTACCGAGCCAAAAGGTGACTACACAAAATTAATTAAGATATTATTTGTGACTTTATAACTTTATTTAGTAATTAAAACAACCATCTCTGAACCCAAATTATTATTAATATTATTCGTTGCAATTTGGTTATTATTTTAGATTCAGAGCGGAGCAATGAATGTATTGGTTTTACAATTCGTATTTTTTTTGTGTTTTCATCACTTTTTGGAGCAGTAACAATGCTTTATTCTTCAACTTTTAGGGTGGTTACCTCATAGCAAATTGGGGTCAAAAGTAAAAAAAATAATGGTGGTTTCTGATCTAGGTACTGTACCCTACAGTAGTTGTCGAGTGGGTCATTGTAATTGATGTGTTAAAATTGAATCCAATACCATATCTTTGTACCTAACCTATCTATTTGAAAAACGATTCTGAGCGAAGGCAGTCTGTCAGCCTATATCAAGTATATTTCATGATAATATGTTTTTCATATTCCTATTAAAGTAATTTATTTTGCTATTATACTTACTATTAGTTAAGTTGATTTAATTTTTTCCCGAAAACATTGCATTTTATTATATAATTAATATTTAATTATTATAAAAGTATATATTTATATTATCATGTTATGTTCTTGTAATTAACTTTTAACTTTTTGAGTCAATACCACCTTCCGTAGAACAGTGTAGGTTATAAATACTAAATAAGTAATATACTAATATCTTAAAATTAATCTAAATATTTTTAAAATGTAATTTCGTATAGTAAAATGTATAGATATTAGATAATATACGTAAATGTTTCAAGCTCCCACAAATAATGTTTTTAAATCACAACAAAATAACTAACATCGTTTTATTTTTCGTTTAAATATGCAATTTCCGTCCAAATTTGAACTTCAAATGTCTACAAAGAAAAAGTGCATATTTCATAATTTTTAGAATTTTTGGTATCAGTATGAAATATTTATGAGGATCTTGTATTAACTGTTCAACCCTTAGTTTTAAAAATTGAACATTTTATAAATTTTCATTATTTTCTATACACGATGGAATTTTCAAAATATTTAAAACAATTTTAACTAAGTCATTCATACCCACACTGATATATATTCTAGAGTATGTATGGTAAGCGCCGCGTGGTACTGACAATTGACCTATAAGTAATAACCATATAATATAATAATTAACAATAGATTATCATATATTCGATGTTTTTGCCAAAAAATAGTTTAAACTGTACCTATTAATGGAAAATAAATTACTAATAGTTTTATCATTATAATATGTATAAACTATGAAATATACTTAGAAATGGAGGCTGACGCATCATTTCCGCTAAGATATGTTCTTCGTATGAAATGAATTATCATTGAGTTTAAATTTAACACTTCCTTTACAGTGACCTACTCTAAATCGAACCCTATTATACTATAGCAGACCGACTTTACCAATTTGTTTTTCCTTATATCTTAGAAGTGACCATATTACGATGCTTTACGGTGCTAGGTATTTTTCACAAATTATTAGTAGGTAATTAGGAAGTATATATATGTGTAACTCAATACTCACTGCATATAAGTATGTTTATATAGAACTAAATTATTTAAAAACTGAAGCTGCAAACAAAATGTCAAAATTCGTTTTACACTTTTATATCCATTATAAATTATTTACATTTTATGAATTATAGTATATAAATTTAAATAACTACGTACTTGCATACAATATAATATGATACATTTGGGTGTAGACACTTAAGTATTATAAAATAAAAAAATTATATTGCAGAATATTATTTAGGTATACACCTAATCATTTTAATGCGTCGTATAAACATATTATTTATCAGCTAGTGCCTATAGTATATCGTTTGTTTGACATAATACTTTTAAATTTCTACGAATTCTATAACCCATTTCTTTTATTTAAGTATTCATTTTTTATTTTACAGGCGTGCTTTATGATGGTACTCAGCCCTATAACAGCCAGTCATTACCCTTATCGGAACTCAGAAAGTTGCAGTTAAGTGATGACGACCGATCTTTCATGAACAGGGTTAAATCTCAAGGTTTGTATTCTTACAAAAAACTTAATTTAGGCATTCAATAAATAATAATTATCCACGGAATATTTCAATATCTAATCGTTATAGCTAGTAATGTAGACACAGAAAACCCAAGATATAGAGGCGGCTCTATACCTTCCAAGATATTCAAAGTTTTGGAAAATAGTGGTAAACATTTATGTTATTATTCGGTGGTGGTAATATATACTTAGTATAGCAACACGCTCGCTTTTTTTTGGCACATTTTAGAATAGGTTCAATTTCCGACTTAATAAAATAGTATAATATATGAAATTATATAGGTACTTAGGTACCCACTCATTCAACTACTGTTTTTTCTTTATTAATTTAAATGTATGTATACATGTTCAATTAAACGGTTAATATTTATATATATAATATCATAATATATTAATGAAGGGAATTATTTTTGTATACATTTATCAGTTGACGATGATAAATTTTTACACAACGAAACGGACCCTCGTTACAAAGGTGCGTCGATTCCGTCTAGAAGCTTTCGAATGTTGCAAACATTAACGAACTCTGCACCTGGTAAAAATATCTTAAATCAAATCCCTATATATGTGATTGTCAAGAGTTTATCTACTAACGAAACATAATAAATTGCCGTGTATAGATTTTGGCTACGCGCTAGTATAGTAGTATAATTCTATGCTTTGAGCTTCGCTTTAGTATACATTTTTTGTTTGATTTCTTTAATTTCATATTGGTCTAAAAATTTTTCAGTTCCGATGGATAACAACTACAAACAATCGGTACCGATAAACAATTACGTATCAGGTAAAAACGAATTTTAACGGGTCGTGTCGACATAATATTATACAGTCTAATGGATAAATTTTTAGTTGAACCTATAGAATCCAAAATGTATGTACCACCGTCAGAGAGACCTGTCGGCTCAGAACCGCATAAGTATACCGGTGGCTCTATACCATCCAGATCATTCAGGATGTTACAAGCTATGACTGGCCAAAATAACGGTAACATTTCATAGTTCAACATTTTATACTTAACTAAGACGTTTACCTAGTTTTAATGAAATCAGGCGATCAAATATATGATACAATTTTATTACCCAAGTAAATTCCATGTTATATCTTTATGACAGTTAATTCATAATAATTTGCCAACTTATGTGGGGTTTATGGGAGAATTGCTTACATAATTATTAATTAATACCTAGCACTTTCTTCAGTTTTATCGTATTATTTTTTATCATATTGTGTTACTAATTATTATGAAACCATTTACACCTTTATATTGATAGTTTATGTATTATTTTTAAGGTTTTTTATGCGAGATTAATGTAATTCGAATCATCGAGTTAATAGTTAATAGTTGTCAGTTGATAATAATTAATGAGTTATAATATTATGTAGTCATGTAGAAGTAAAATACTTCATACTGACACCACCCATACATATTTTTCAGCAATACAAACACTGAAAAATAACTAAGTACACTAATATATCTATATATTTTAATTTTTAGTATATGCCTAAATGGTTTTTCATCTCAGAAATATATAGTTAAATTTAATTTTGTGATTATTATAATTTATAAACTATTTTTTACCTAACTCAAAAGACAATCGATCTCTTAAAATGTTGAAGTGTTTTACTGAATGATTTAATTGTATATTAAAATATACCTAGTATTTTAATAATCATAATTCATTGTTCAATTTTTAAAGTGATTAACTTTGTATAATATTAAAGACTACATTATTATAGTAATTTTATATTTTATTTTATATGCTGAGGAATCAAAATTAAATGTACAGATATTGGAGTATTTACAAGGATTTAATAAGGTTAGGTTAGGTTGTATAACGTCAAAAATAATGTCGTGTAGTTGAGTAAATAACCTAAAAAATGTTACAGTTATACGTTTATAAGTTTATATACATTTTTTTTAATTTGCTTTTAAATGTTTTTGTTAGTAAAATGTATTAACATTTTAAATAATATTTGTTGTAGAAATAGTTTAGTTTTATTACTGAAAGACATTTTTTTTGTATGTGTGACTTTATTTTAGTAGTTAATAGCTTTTTGATTTTGAATAATATTTTTCTTTGTTTTTTTTTATTCATGTGCATTTTAATAGTTACATTATATACTTACATATAGTTATGTTTGTAAAGTTTATTTATAATTTTAATATTGACCTTATGTCTTTAAATTTGTTTTTTTTTTTTTTAATAGCTTAACTAAAATATAAATAGTTAACTTTTCTTTTTAAACTTTAACGCTGTTATTAATAATTAATATTAATTAACTTTGTTAGTAACAAAAAAACTGTAATTAACATCAATGAAAACACTACACCACATTGGTCGTTAACATATAGTTATGTCCAAATAGAATTTTATATTTTGTACCTATACTGTCATTAAAATGTTGTTTACGTAATATTTTTTTAACGATATTTGCATAATCTTGAATACGTATTATGTGTGCTCGTGGGCGGTGCCGCGGTGGACATTATACATTTATACAGCTTAATATACAAACATAACATATATCGTTAAATAATGAAATGTAGTTTATGCATTGATCATCAAATGTCTGTAATAGTTATAGTAAATTGTGCAAAAAAAAAAGAAAGTCAAATTGTGGAACTATCATACCAAGGACGTTCTAGTACTGTGAATTGCGATTAGCAAGCTCGGCCGTTATTTTTGTTTTTTTGTTTTGTTTTGTAGAAGAAGAAGAAGAACAACAACAACAAAATGACTTACAAAACCTGCAATCGCATACCCCTTATCCTTTTATCTGTCCCGAATTTTGGCAACATTACAATTATCTAAAGGAATTTCACGACTGGCACTGCACCGGTGCTGAGTCTGTAACAGATCAGCAAGTATACCACGAAGACTACCAACAACAACAATACCACCACCACCCACAACAACAACAACAATATAAACAACAACAATCCACAATACAGCAATCGGTGCAGACTGGCGTCGCGTCGGCGGCAGACACCACCGCGGCGTATGCCGGCCACGTGTTGAATACCATAGCCGAGGAAGAAGCCGCCGACGACGAGAACGTCTGCTCACCACACGGCAACGATTCCGACTCAAGCGAGTGCGAAGTGACGGTGACGGTGACGTTGCCGTCGAAGAAAGCTGCCGCCGTGACGATGGTGGGTGGGGCAGTACAGGAACAGGCAAAGACTAGTTCGCCGGTGGACTTTTGGCAGCAAATCAACGACGGTGAAGGCGTGCCGGCCGACACGTCTACGTCGGATAGCGACGACGAGTGTTCGGATGACGAAGAGCCTTCGAGCGTCGTTTGTCAACCGGAGAACCTACTGCAGAAGCCGTCGGGCGCCGCTTGTCCTACGGAGAACCTGTTGCCGAAGCCGTCGGGTGTCGTTTGTCAGCCGGAGAATTTGCTGCAGAAGCCGTCGGGTGTCGTTTGTCAGCCGGAGAACCTGCTGCAGAAGCCGTCGGACGCCGCTTGTCCGCCGGATGACGAGGAGGTCGGTGACTGCCGCCAGCCGTCAGATCGCGAAGACGACGACGCTGATTCGGGCATCACGACGACATCATCGGCCGACGTGGCGAGCCGACCGACCTTCGACAGAGACGTGATCGGTAGCGGTAGAATCGGAGGCGTCGGCTCAAAGAAATACCAAAGAACGTGCACGCACTCGCGACTCTTTGACTTCTTGCAGCGAGACGACGACGACGACGACGCCGACGACGATGACGGTGCAGACTCCAGCAACGGCGCGGACTCCATGAGCAACGGTACGGACGGGAGAAACAAACCACCGCAGTCGTGCACTTCCGGTTACTCGTCGGCGGCCACCACGCCGTCCACGCCGTCGGCGGTCGGCAGGAGCCGGACTTACGAATCGGACTTGGCCCGGACGGAATACGACAGTTACTACAAGAGCTGGGAGTACGCTTGCCCGTACTTCGGATACGACATACTGCCTTCGAAGGCGTTCAAGACCATCGCGACGCGGCTGCAGGGCGGCGGCGGTCCCGTGGCTGCCTGCAAGTCCCCGACGACTGCCGCCGTGGGCACCACCACCAGGTTCAAGTGTCCCAAAATTCCTAACGGAGAAGACGGATCTTAAACGCAGTCTCTTCCCCGTCACCATCCCCTGCCCACGCACTTTTCATTTCTCTCGTTTGGGGTTTTTTTTACGATTTTATAAGGTATTATATAGCATACGCGTTGTTTGGAGTCTGTGAACGGTTGTTGTTTTCTCTCTGCAGTTTATATCTCATTCTATCAGCTCTGTCTTGCGAATACTCTCTGTGTACACATTTATTATAATATTACTTTTACCGTCAACCTCGTTTATCTATATACACACAATGCACCTACCGAAAATATATGCATTCGTCACTGCACGCTTATGTAAAAAATATAGGTACCTATAACTAAATTGGTACACTATCTGCACACAACATACACAACACCGACTGCTGCTGCATGTACTCTCCACAAACCACCCCACTCTCATGGGTGCCCCGCGACGACGCACACCTGCAAATAAACGAGGTTGTGGTGCGCTGCAATGATATGTATATTATAATGTTATACTATTAAATAATAATATACGTTATATATAATATATTATATTATAATGTCGTCCAAACCGTAGACATCAATCATGTGTCCGTGACTCTGTAAAATATTATATTCTCCCCCCCCCCCTGAACAACATATCCCTTCTTCTTCTTAGCTCTGTGCTGCGTTAACTTCTTCACAGTTGGGAATAACATTATTATTATTTTATTATATAACTCCACCTTTTGGAATATACTGTTACAAAGCGTATATACGTGTTTATTAACTTTTTATATATAAATATTTGATTATATTTATACACAGTCGTTGGTCTAAAGTATCAAATATTTGAACGTCTCCGTTTCATTGAAATATAATAATAAAATAATATACATTGAACGGATGTATATTTAGATTTAGTCTTTAATCTATTATAAACTAATTATTTTACCGTTATAATAATATACGAAACAAAAGGTGTAGTTTTTTGTATTTTGTTTTCCAAGTTGTTGTGTGTTGTATACAGTTGTTGCTATATGTCTTACTGCAGACAGTGTTCCAAATGCCCGGTAGACGTTGGTTACATATTCGGTTAATCAGAAGTTCCATTCGAGACGTTCGAACGACCTGTTAATCTAATAATATATTATATTATATTTCGTCACCGGCAACGTTTGGGACGCTTTGATTTTTTTGTAATTAATTTACATCATTTTTAACTAAGACTTTTTTCTTTTCGCAGGTAATTTAGGTGAATCTGACTTCTGATTTGGAATGACGGTAACCACAATCAAACTGCTTTTACGTTGAATGATTTATATTTGTATGGTTTACACATTTTTGCTATATTCATATATTATGTATAAATAATTGTAACTATTTAGTATTGTAGGTAAAATGAATTTACATTAACACATAATTATAGCTAATATATTATATTTATATTGTCTATAGGTATTATAAAAAAATAAATTGTAATAAAAACGGATAAGTTTAAAACCATGAATAAAAATCGTCTAAACAGTTGTATTTAAACGTGTTTCGTTTGTGATGTGGTTGTTCGGTGAACGAGCCCGTCGATTTGCAAACAAAAAAACCAATAATATTCTAGAATCAATGTACACACCGCCATTATTATTAGGTCAGTCGTCGAAGACGCAGAACGATGATGGGTACGCAAGACGATTCGGTGGTGCGTAGGTTGACATCGAATAATAATAATATGTAAATAGCATAATATTAGTACACAGCTATAATAGTGTCTTCTAAACACATACCTAGTAAAATTTATTAGTAGGTAGAAAAACATAATATGTGCAATTAGTAAACTATCGCGAACGAAATCGTTTTATGGGGCGGCGGCGTGTTCAACATGGTATTTTTTTCTATTATTAACAAATCGTCATTTAAATAATCATATTATATTATACCTACCCACCTGCTACCCAATCGCAATTTCTGGTGCATTGCTCAAGGAACACGCACGAATATAGCCGACTTTAATAAGCGCCATTGTAAACACGCCCGCGGTAGACCAGCTTTAACCCATTTAATAATAAAATATTGCTGTCCAAACGATTTGCAACAATAATAATGAATCTAAATGTTTTGTTTCGATTCGCCGGCTGTACAACAACAACATAGCACTACAAGTAGGTAACACAACCGTCGCAACAGTTTCATGTATCATCTAAATTTTAAATTATAAGTTAGTATAAGTATGTTACTATATTTATACAGGGTGATCCACCTAACATGCTCACCCCCTTTTTATTTTGAATAAATAATGCAGTTAAAAAAAAATCTGGTTTTTGGAATTTTTAAATATACTTAGGTCTTAGAGACAATAATATTTTCAAACTTTAGATTTATCTATTGTATTATACTTAAGGAGTGTTCTGTGGATATACAAACTTCTCTTTTTCAAATGAGAAACCCGATTTTCTACTGTAAATTATTTAGCGGATAGTTTTTTTGAAAATTATGAAGTATCAAAATCAAAATTCTAATGAGTCGTTTTGGAGTTAGGTATCATTAACTTTGTGTACCAAGGATAATGGATTCCGAAAATATAGTGGTTATGGTGAATTCAAAATTTAAATAATTAATATTGATCTATCAATATTTATAATTTGTAAGAAATAGCTAGGATCCTAAAATATTACAACATATATTATATTTTTGCAGTAAAACCATTTTTAAAGACTATAATATTAAAACGTTTATAATAACTCAGAAACCAATAGCTCGAGTTTTCAAAAGAATTATCCTTTTATTAATTTAAATTAAAAAGTTGAGGGGGGGGGGGTTAAAATTTAAGTTTGTATGTCCTGTTTCTACTGAACAGTCTTTAAGTATACTTCTTGAGATTCATTTGTATTATGATACAAAAAAATTTCAAGAACTCGAAAATGTGGTTTTAAAGCATATTAAAAAAAAATTCAAAAATCAGAATTTAAATAAATATATTATTATTAAAAGAAAAATTAGGGTGAGCATGGTTGGTGAACCATTCTGTATAATAATATATACGCTGTATAGTGCTGTACATAAAAATATTGAATACACGAATTCAAAATTATTAGACCTGCGCATACAAACACACACACACACACACACACACACACACGTCACACATTCGCCGAAGTCACTGGGTCAAGTCTCTCGCTCACATGGCGTGGGCCGAACAGGTATTATTCATTACAATATTATGGTGCTTATACCCGTCGGGGCAGACTTATTGCATAACGAAGCCGACGACGACGATACGTCGAAAGCGTTAAAAGACAGCCGCAGAATGCGCGGAACGAAGAGTCTTCTTGGTGCTACGCTGCCACACAGTTGTCAATTCGGTTGTGGTCAAAGGTATCTACCACGGTATATAAAATAATAGTAACTCGGAGCTCAAATATCACTGCGGGTAAAAAAGTCCGCCAAAGTCAAATTTGGTTTTTCTTTTGCGCTCTCGCGTGCTAGAAATGTTTACGGAACCGCCTTTTAATCTTTGGACCGCCGTAGCCCGTACTTGCAGCAGTTGTTGTTGTTGTTGTTGTTGACCGCACGGCGAAACTATTATTTCATACAGCGGTTGTATACCTTTAATAGCGGATCGATTCATCGCGAGGCTGTCACTGCACAAAGATGAGAAACGAGGTAAATATTATATGTTTTTTATGAATATGACATAGTTTTTATGAACATTTAATATTATGTGTACGAGTGGATTACCTACGCGAAGACTGAATCGTGGAACACTTGACTAGCTCAACAGAAAACGGGTGTCGGGGTTTCTCAATTTTTGAATGAAGTCTATATAATATTATACGAGATACGTAGATACCTAACAAAATAATAGTATACTGTTCAACTGTTGTAATTTTCTCTGCATTTTTACGGTATTCAATATCTACTTGTACGATATTATAATGGTAGGTAGTAGGTACCTATACAAAATACATAGGAAATTCAAATTAATTGTCATTTGTCAGGGACTGACGTATCTTAAGTTGTTCAGATTTAATCATTTTTCAACGTTAAACAATCTATTGTTTCAAAACGATAATTTACTTGTATGACAAATGACATATTTTATTTCTATAAACCAAGCAGGTAGTAGGTATAGGATGTCCTATATATGGGCTACCTATATGTTCTAACTATAAGTACTATATAAGTACTATAATGTATTAATGTATAGGTGCTATTGTTTAGGTACTATATAATGAATAATGATACCTACTATATAGTAAGTAATATTTTACATTCTGAGCTTAGTGATAAGTATACTGATTTTACAATGATGTATTGTTGTTGTTTTTCTATATTGGCACACGATATAAGCAGTCGATATAATGCTTTGATTTTTAACTTCAGTATCTTTTTATTAATATGCTTTAAACAAATACTTTACTATGATACATCATGATATTTATTTATTTAATCCAATAATTATTTATTGCATGATAAAATAACTTTCTGTTGACTATGATAATAATTTGCAATTTAATAATGATCTGAAAACTGTTTATAACATACATGTGGAATTGTTAAATTGTTGTGCTATTATAATATTATGATTCACAAACTGTATTAGGCTGAAGCCTGAAATGGTTTTTTTAAAAAAAATATTAAGAAAATTTAACTTTTTTTTTGTTTTGGAGGAACGGGAATACAAAAATTTATTTGGGAACAAGTTTTTTTGCTGAAAAGGACCTATCCATGTATAGTATACGTTTTTATATAATTATTAATTAGTGCAACTTTGTGTCATAATAAAATATACCTAAATATCCTCACAATTTCGATTAACTACTTTTAATATTTATTAATCCCAAACACAGTGTACCGGACCACTTTTATTTTAACTACATGGTTAAGACTTAATAGGACACTTATTAGGCCACAAGTAAACAGTAATTGTATGAAATACGAATTCAGGATGGTACCTATATAATATATTATGATAAATTTACTTTCAATTTTATGTGCTTAAATATATTTTATTCCAATTGCGATATCGTTTAAAAATATTATTGCGCATTGCTGATTGAATAGTGAGTATACTAATATTACTAATTATGTTAATCAATAACAATTAATGCTTTGAATAATAATTAATAGATATGAGTGTTATGAAAATACGAATAAAATAAATAAATAGTTTGAGTTAGGTGTTAGGAGACACATACACGTGGCAATGTTTTTATTGAAAATAAATATTATGACCCTATGGACCCTATACCTTCGTGTTATAGTTATCGGGTCAATTCTACATTTCTACTTAATAATTAATAATACATTAATACCCATAATAATATATGTACCTACTATATTCGAGTATAACAGTTGTACAAATACCTATTACTACTATATTCTGGAGTCTGGAACCAGTGGAACCTATTCATATTGGTTGTAAACTGTGTTTATACCGCTATGCCTACATTTACAATGCATATTGTACACTTTATATAATGTGTGGCATTAAGCATTTAGATATAATTATATTATTAGGTAAGTACGTACTTATATTGTGATAAAAATCGACAAATCATTCAATATTTTATCGACCAAGTACATTTTTACGAAACTTGTTAGGTATCGTAGAATTTATTATTTATTTGTAGCGATCGCGATGGTCCGAATACACGATACCTACGTCCTACCTACCTACTGACAATAATAATTTAATATCGCCTGAAATCTAATTAAATTATGGAAAGCGACAGGACGACACGCGTGTGTGTCTCGACTCTCGAGAATTTCTGTAACCTATATATTGATCAATTGGTGCAAATCGTTCGTTACACTTGATGGTCTTATAATTGATAATATACGTATATAATTAAATGTTGCGAAATAATATATAATTTTAAAATGTTATAATACAATTAATTACAAATATTGAAATATGTTTATATTTGTAATGTATAACCGCATAGGTATAGGATAAAATTCTAATTAATGAGGAAACTTGTATATTTTTTTAATAACAATTCTTTGCGATGTGTAGTCTATTATACATAATACTATAATAATCGTGTTGTTTTGTTTGTTTTCGTCTTAATGATGAACTCCAAAAACATTGGGTAATCATTATGAAAGAGGTAAAATACTAGAATGCACTATTCACATACTCGGGGAAAAAACCAACTTTTACTCAGATGAGGTCATAAACTACCTATATATATTATATATAATAGGTAGTAGGCACCTACGTTTAACGTATTTTACATATTATTTAAAAAAAATGAAGCGTTCAAAATAATCATTCTTAGTCATAAGTTATGTCCAAATAAACTGTGCAACAACCATTAAGCATTAATCACTAACCAATTATATACTGCTAGTTAAAATCTGAAAGCTATTTATTATTGTTGGTAAGTTTTAGATTATCAAGTCAACAAATTGACTCTGATTATAATGCTAAAGGATAAATCATAAAAACAAAATACAATTATATAACTGATTGGTGTGGTATCTACTGTACAAATTGAGATGAATTTTCAGCTGCTAATCAGAAACTTAGTTTGACAAAACTGTTGTAGGTCTTGATTTTCTTGAATATCAATATTTTGAAAATCAAATGTGTTTTTTAATGTAAGGTCAATTGGTTTACAACATACCTATTGGGTTTTCAGAACCTTTGTCGCATTATTTCATGGATCGGTAAACGTTGGAAATAGTATTCCTATGAAAGAAAATCACTGCTGACCGCTTTCGAATTCTTTATTTTGGAACTTCTCCAAATCTTAACTCGATAGTCAATACTCAATATAGATAATTAATAATTATTAATTATACTAGATTCATGTCATAGGTTTATAGCATTTATTAATTATATGGCATACCTATTGTAGTATTCGAATCATTTAAAGAGCGTGCCTACAGGTCGGATTGTTTTGAAAATCATCCCGATTAATTCAAATAATATAAGTAATCGTTTCCACAGTGTCTGTTGGCAGCCTTTTGGTTGGCCACGTGTACGATGGTCATCGTTGGCCGCGTTGCCGGGGTGGAGTTCGATCAGAGGCAGCCTTCGTCGTACGGCGATGACTATTCTTACTACGGCGAACACAGTGTGGCGGCGCCTGAGAGCGAGGAAGTGTCGGCTCGCACCCATCACGCAAAACTGCACAAGTTGAAGAAGCTCAAACTCAAGAAGCGTCTGTTGCTGCAGTGCCTGTTGGGGCACGGCCGGCGGCGGCGCGACACGTCCGAGGCTTCCGGTCGATTCTTTCTTCCGGTCGTATTGCAGAGCACCAACGTCAACGTGGGTTCCGGCGGCGGCGGATATCAGCAGCAGCAACAGTCGCACCACAGCGGATGCATGCAAATGTTCGGCGATGACAACAATCACGGTCCACTGGGCTCGCCGCCGTCGTTGGGCTCGTTGGGATCGTTGGGCTCACCGTTAGGCTCGTTGGGGTCGGCGCTCGGTTCGCTGGGCTCGCTCGGGCCGGCTCCAGTGTCGGAAGAGACGGAAGAGGGCGGCAACCGCAATTACGCCGCCGACTGGAACAGATATGCCAGACAGTTCCGCCGCAACTTTGTCAGGCCGCTGTACCGCTTGTTCTAGCGAGACATAAATAGGTAGTTGTCTCGGCGATTCGATTCGGTCCCGTCGTTATTATATATATATATATATTAATCAAGATAAAGCGGAACTAATTCAGACTTTATTGTATATAGTCAATGTAGTAGTTGTACAATATGTCATACCATTGATTATGAATACTAATTACTAGTACAATAGTAATGTAGTATACCTGTTTATAAATTATAATCAATGGTTATAAGTACAAGACGGAACCCATTAAAACTGGACATGTTTTATAAGAAATATGCCTAAGATAGGTAGGTACCCAGGATTAACTTAACTAAGGGCTGCGACCATATTATTCCTATTTTATAAATGAAGAGTTTAAACTTTAAAAGTTATACCTATACTCGATGTATCATATTATTGTTATATTCATAACCGACACCGCCAGTTTTCTATTAATTTTTAAATTAATCCTAGAATCAACTCTTTTGACTTTTTGGACATTTCAATAACGCTTTATCTATGCATATAAAAAAAATATAGGTACCCCGTACCCAACCACTTATGGCCTCCAACTCACTTCCTGGGAATCCACCAAGACACGAGACACCTCTAAAATGGAATTGGTGCCATGGCCCGCGTGACCTGAATAAGTAGATAATCTCCATATCACCGGGATATCCCGTTTGTGGGAGTCCCTTTCGTGTGTTTTTTTTTATATTTCATGTCAGTTTTGTATTATTGTAAAAATGTAAAATAAACTACTTACCACTGTACATAACACATTGTATAGATCGTATTATTTCCAAAATAAGTTATTTTAATTTTTTTTTATAGTGTATAGATACAAGTAAAATAATGTGGTTTTTATTAAGCTATTTAAATCGTGATAGTGGTTGTAAGTTGTAAATAATTATTAACCTTCCTCGCAATACATAGATACCAATAGGCAATAGTACAAAAATACAAAATATGTTAAGAGTTTAGTTCAGTTAACCTATAAGTTAACAAATATATATTTAACTCTAAAAGTTTAGTTTTTATTTTTACAAGCAACATAAAATCTGTATCATTATAGAGACAATAAGAATATAGGCTTAAAGTAACAAGTAGGACAGGTAAGCAAAAAAGTTCCACAGTAGGTATTATTTTAATAAATCATGCATTAATCTATTAAAATAATAATAGGGTAGATAATTATTTTTTACTTAGTTTAATTGTAGTTTAACTTATGATGAAATAATAAATTGTTATTATTATTATTTTGTATTTATTTATTTAATTTATAATTAAAAACAATACTACAATATGCTGGAATATGGACCAATATGACTAACTATTTTTTCTAGTTTATTTTCTTGTTCCATTTCGTACTTGTAAGCTTATTTTCAGGTTTTTTGTGAAGTTTGTAGTCACGTTAGGTTAAATTATTATTAATGTTGATTTGTTTATTAATAGATTTCAAAGGTTTTTGTGTTTAATATTTCACTTGTCTCTCTCATAAAGATAGGTGTGTGATTTAATTTCAATTTAGGCTTTTAGAGTATAATGCAGAAATAATATGAAGATGTGGAATGAATAAAAATACAATAGATTTTATGTCTATTAGTGTTATTATTTGTTAATATGTAATTTAGGTAGTAAGGCCGAAATAATTGACACATACCCCATTGAAAAAATAAAAAACGCCGCACTAAAGCCCCTCAGAAAATGTAACAACTTTACGTAACAATGTATTTATTTTTCAATAATATACAATTTAATGTATTCGGTGTTCAAGCATGCTTTTAATAGTGTAAAATAATGACTATAGAATTTCATTACCTGTAATTTATAAGTTAAATTTAAATAGGTAACATGAACATTAAATAATATCATGACAATAATAACATTATTCTCAACATATATTCCTCTGTGTAAAATAATTTATGAAATACAAATAATGAATAATAATATTAAACATCTATAATAATATATAATTAACGAGGGTAAAATGATTAATAATGCACAATTTCTTCATAATAGTAAATTTAAATTATATTTTATAAGGATATAATAAAATTTTAAAAGATAGTCAATAATATAAATACGATTTTTCTTTATAAATGTTCACAGTATTTTAATTCAAAGAGGGAATGTAATTTAACTATTTCAACAATATAAATTTTACAATAATTATGCTATTGGAAGCCAACAAAAAATAACAAACTGGAGTTTTACAATTCATTATTTAAATACACTTTAAGATGAAACTTACGAAAAAACAACCATATAGTAAACATTTTTCCAAAAAAAGTTGTCATGTAAACGTGACCATAATACTGATAACCTCTCAGTAAATTTAGTGAATCATTAAATATTTTACACTGAAATTTAGACTAGACAAAAGTAGTTGGTGAAACAGGCAGTTTTTTTTTAATAAAATAAAATACTATTTTTATAATAGTAAACCATAGTCCAATAATACAATAATAAAAAAATAATGTATTGGTAGATAAAATTTAAGTTTCAGATACATGGAAAAAATAAATAATAATTTTTTTTTTACTTAAATATTATACTAATATTTGGACATGAATAAAAATTATTCTTAATAGTTATTTACAGAAAGCACATCTTCACTAACTTGATTTAGCATCAAATTCTGACCAAGCGTTGTTCAGTTCCACAAAAATTAGTTTTGCAATGTTTTCATTGCAAGTTCCGGTTTGCTAGAATAATAAGTGAAAATTAATTAACTCCTTAGTTTATTTTTGATATGGTAATTTTTGGTTGAATCAAATGTTCTACCTTATCAGGATGAACAGCAAGGCATGCTTTCCTATATGCTTTCTTTACATCAGCATAGGTTACCAAATTACTGAGATTGCAATTCCACCCAGATCCTTCCCATAATACTGTATGTAGTGTACCAAGTAAAGCTCTAATGTTTCCTTTTTTTCCTTCAACCCATTCCATAACCTGAGTAAATTAAATATTTTAATAAATAACATTAATAATAATCATTTCAATATTGTTTACTTTTAGTTTTTCTGGGTCAATTTCTTTAACCAAGTCTACTCGGCGCATTTCGTTTATTGTTTTTGGACCAGGATTAAGTTTTGAACTGAATGTATACCCTTGGCTCCCTAAAAGATCTCCAAAAATATCTCCACCAGGTTTGGGTGGAGCTTTTGTTGTTTCTGATTCAATGTTTATACCACTGTAATTAGGTTCAGCTGGTGTCTTAGCTGACTTTGTAGGGCTGCCTAAAATTACAAAATATTAAAATATAAAATATGTTGAATTATGTTCTTTAAGATAGAATAAAATCACTTGTTTGTGAATGGCTTGAAAAATTCATCCAATTATCAGTTTTCAAAAAATCAAAATCATCAACATTTGATTTGGTAGAAGTAAAACTACCATTTGAAACGCTTCTTCCATTCACAGCTATAATGTATAAAAAAATGTTAACAAGTATCTATAACCTTACAAACTCTTAAAAACGGCAATTACTTACGATTAGGTATCGTTATGTCCTGTGGCACTGATTGGTTAACCCAAGAATTGTTTGTTTTATGTATGCTAGGATCATTTAAATTTAACAAATCGCCATCCTATATATTATAAAAAATGTAAATGTATAAATAAATTTTATGTTGTAAATTGAATGCTTACATTTGAATTTGTTTTTGAAACAAATGGATCAAATAAAATATCATTGTTTGTATTTGAAGAGTTTACAAATCCTCCAAATAAGTCTTTAGATTCAGTCTTTTCAGACTCAGGTCCTAATAAATCAAATAAGTTATCCGGTTTCGATGCAACTGGTTCATCGTCTATTGAAACTGATGAAAAATTTAATAATAGGCCTTCGTTAGGTTTATTTGATTGAACATCGACTTTTGGAGGTAAATGTGGTCTTGGGGGTGCTACTCGAATAGGAACATTTGCTGGTTCCTAAAATAAAGAACTAAAGTTATAATACTTTTTATAGATAATGGATATTGTTTATACTTTTGGTTGAACAACCGGTGATGTCTTAATATTTTTATTTCTCTGTGGAAATAAATCTTGAAATTGAGTATTCTCAATGGAAGTTGAGAACAGTAAATCAGGTTTCTTACTATTATCTCTTGTTTTGCATTGTAACGAGATTCCATTTTTATGTTGTTCCATTTCAATTTTCACATGAAACATATTACTCTGATAGTGTTCAGAACTCGCTAAAAAATCTAATTCACTCCTGAAATAAAAATGTATTGCACATTTGGTTGAATTTCAATTTTCAACTTTCATACCATGAAATTGTTAGGGCATTATACTTACTTAGTAAAATCTATTACAATATCTTCTCCATCGGGGAACATTAAAAAATCAGAATGGAATTGCAACTGAAATATTTTAATTGGCACTGTTCGCCCAAGAACTTGTCTAGAATGGTATACAATGAGAGTGATGTCATTTCGAATTCCAGCAGGTAATGATTTCAAGGCAAGTGATACCTATGAAAGATAATTTTTTATATCTATATAACGCATGATTAATTAATAATTACTTTTCCATGGGAGATATCATATGAAGTCAATCGCTCATATTCTACTTCTGTAGTTAAAACTTTATTGTAACCTTCAAAAATTTCTACAAACGGACGGCAGCCATCGCTAAATCAGTTACAAAAAATGTATTAAAAATAAATATAATTTAACATTCAGTTGAGTTACACAATATATATTATATACATCTATTTACTAAAAAAATATGTTCGTACCGATTTTTATTAAAAAGAGGAACTGGCTCCATAATGAGTCTTCTTATGTTTATTGAATCAATATTATGTGTGTGCTCAGTCGCTATGTAATTTAAATACCTATTGAAATTTGAAAGTAAATTATTTTCATTACATTATATCAGTAATAAAATAATTGACTAATCAAGTATTCGGCAAACCCACTATGTTTTTTCCATCTTGGTAACATAGACAATTATGGTTTACCACATGCACATTAAACCTGATTATACCAGGTATACTTTTAAATTACCTATTTTCCGAGGGCTGAAAAATAGGTGTAGACTTTTTAACAGCATATATTGTACAAGCATTTTCAGCAGTATCTGATGCATTTGTATACAATAAAAATGCGCAAACAATTAATGCAGAAGTACCAAAGTTTTCCTACAACCAAAAAGTTATAATTAAAATATAAATAAGAGTAATATAGTTTAAAAAAATATTACAGTTGATTGGAGTATGACACAAAGATTTGTGGAATTGTTAGTCAGAAAACTATACATGTCATCACAAACTGCATATATCTCATGTAAAGTAGGACATGTTATTGTCTTTGGATGAACTTCTATCACCTTAGCATTTAAAAAACACATAATTAAATCACTAAATTAACTAATATTAAATGAATATGAATTGACATACAATTGAACGTCCAATGGTCCGAGGATATGAATGGCCTGTCATGTTGTACAATCGACATTGTCTGGTGTCTAAACACGAAGCAATATTTTCCGAGTTTGCGTCTTGAGTAACTGTTAACACGGCTAATTTTGATGTTATGAACACCATGTCTATACCAGATTTTACATTGACTGATCTATTTACAGATTGCAAAATTTAAGAAGTTGTCAGTGAGATAACATTTTCCATGTTATAATGTATGAGTACTCACGATTGGACTGTTTGCATTACTCGGTTCGATGTGTCTTTTAAATTTTTTAAAAAACTTCCTGCCCCACCACGTATTTGAGAAAATAAACCTGAATTAGGTATAGTTACTGGTGATTGTCTGAAAATCATTAATAAACAAATATTATTTCGGTTCAAATTGCGTAAACCTTATTTATACATTGAAAATTACTTCGCTACTACTGGCTGTTGTGGAATACTAGGGATATTAGATCCAATAGGTTCCAACGGTTTTCCTTCAGATTTCAATTTGTTGATATCTAATGAATCAATACTAACTTTATACATTTCTTTAATGCGCTCAATAAGTTTTAATGATTCAAAAACTGACATTCTTAATGAAGGATCTGGTTGTAAACATCCCTCTAAAAATAAAAAGGAAAATAATAATATACTTACATTTTATTAAAAGAAAATCTACATACTTATTATAGAGATAAAATCAGTGTATGAACTTTCTACTTGTGAAAATGAATATCTTGCATTTAATATTGCTAGTTTATTGGAATCTTCAAATGGATGCCGATTACAACATAAAGCGTAGCAAACACAACCTAAAGCCCACACATCAACAGCTGTACCAATTTCATGATTAGACCAAGTATCAATCATTTCAGGAGCACGGTACATTGGAGTTGTACATTGATTAAGCTAAGAAAAAAAAATACTTTTCAAAAATTCTAAATTATAGTTAAAAATAAATCTATATTGATAATATAGTATAGTGATTGGTAAGTATTTATTAAGATAATACTTTATCTTTATTTATTTACTTATACAAATTTTTGTAATAAAAAAGGTTTGCTCGTATACATAGAATGCATAAATAATACATTTATAATAAGCTATTGCTCAGAAAAAAGTGTTTTTAATGTATGCTTATTGATTTTGGTAAATTACTTATATATAATATGTATAATATATAATCTTATATAATTTTTAATAAATTTACTTTATCTTCCAAGACGGCTCGTTGCTGTGATGTCCAATTCTCATCTGGCTTGTAAACTTTTGTTGTACAACTTCCAAAGTCGCATAATTTAATTTTACCATCATCACTGATCAAAAAGTTTTCAATCTAATATTTATAAATGAGAAAAATATTATAGAAGTATTGATTACATACACTCTGAAATGATTAATACACTTAGGGCCATTGTAGAATTTTATGATTTTAAATATATAATATATAATGCAAAAGCAAAATCTTTTGGAATAAACATATAGCATAGGTAATTGGGTGAATTAGCAATGTCAATTGTTATATTAGAAATACAGCAAAACCTCTAAATACCAGACATTTTCGGTCACTGAAATGTTGTCTGCTATACAGTGGATTCAGATTTTAGAAAGTTTGTAGTTTTTTTCCCAAAAAATTTATTTTATTGGGAGGTGTCCATTAAGGGAGGTTTCCCCGTAATACAATGAAATTGGATACAAATATAACTGACAAAACATTTAGATTATCAACTGAATATTTAGAATAAATACTGTATATCACAATAGATTTATTGCTAATTAGATTCTGTCAATCAAAGACTTAATTAGTCACATGGGTGAAATATAAGAGTTAACTATGAAGGGCAGTTAGGCGATGGGTTTATGGTATCCGGTTAGTTAGGAGTATGGAGTGTGGAGTCCGAAAACTATGAATTTTGTTAAATATTATTTGATTACTGAAGTTTGTCACACAACACAGACCTTTATATCTCTATGAATGAGAGGTGGACTTTGACAGTGCATGTGTCGTGTGGCTGAACACATTTGGTAAAATACTGAAGTAACAATATTTCTATGTAAAGGTTTTTCTCTAGTTGATAATAATTCTGCAACATTTCCTCCTAAACAATATATTAATATATTTTAGTAACAACAAAGTAGATATTTTATGTAAACTGACCTGGACAGAACTCTGTTAGAATAAGATACTCATTTGATCCTCGAGGTGAATCAATTTTACTAGTAAATGCTGCCGACATAAAATGTATTATGTTTGGATGACCGCTTAACTTTTTCTAAACAATTGTAAATTATGCTTATACAATATACATATGCATAATAAAATAGTTCTCAAATATGATTTACTTACAAGTACATCAATTTCGTTAAGAATAACTTTATCAGCAGCATCATCTGCTGCAAGTAATTTCTAAAAAATAAAAATAAATATTGTATTAATCACTTGGCACTACTTATGTAGATAATAATACTAATAAATTATAGAGTTAATTATCTTTGGATTACACAGAAATATTAAACAATAACATTAAGAGTAAGTCTTAAAATCATTCAAAAGAAAATGTTATAGGTATTAAAAATATGATTAAAGGTTTGTAGGTTTAAAATATGTATTATATAACAACTAATAAAACCGCCCCCCAAATAATATTATCAAACTAGTTAGGTACACATCATAATTTACACATAAAACAAGAAAGTAAAACATTATCTCACCTTTAATGCATACTCTTTACCAGTATCTTGAGCTTGGGCTACAAACACCATGCCTGATCCACCTGAACAATATTGCAAAATATTAAAGAAAATGAATAATACTGACCACTACTGCTAAACAATTTTGGTTCTCACCTTCGGCAATAAGTCTTTTTATCTTTAGCTTGACATTGCCCAATTCTACGTTTGAACCGACATAATCGTTGTTTTCGGCCGAGAAACTACTGCTAAAGTAGTCTAGAGCAGATTTGAAAATATCAGACATATTTTACAAATAATTAAAAACGTTCTCGATATCAAATTACATCTAACTTCATTAAAAATCCATAACTAATTCATTGTAAACAAAATGGATTGAACCAGATTTCAAACGTGAACAGTAAATTTACAAATATAATAACAATTAACAATCAATGAGTAACGACAAATGTAAAACATGATTAAAATATAATTCCAATAATTTGTAATAAATCTGTTTTTTATAAGTTGTAGCCTTTAGGTACTATTTATTTATAAAAAACTTGTTTTTTTCTTCCTAGTTATGTTTTCAATATTGATAGTGTTATCAAGTAGTTTTCTTTGTTTTCGACTACCTTGGTTCTTGAAAACTTAAGACCGCCGTCGTTTTCCGGATAGATCCGTGCTTGGTGGTTCCGTCACAACCACTCACAAATCGCAATTCACAACCGAATATTTTATACGATTATTATTATACCTTTCGTGGTCACAACCACGGACTGTGGTCATAACGTAGGAACAACAACTGTAGACGAAAATTATCAAGGAAACGTATCCGGTCGACTCGAACATCACTTTAGTAAACAAAATGTTTATATGAGATTTAGCACGTAGTCCAAGTAATAAATAATAATAATAACAATGTTAATGTCATCTTCATAACAGACGTGGGTTTGTGATTGTCTTTAAACGGTAAAATTGAGTTTAAAATCGTATTTTTTTTTTTTGTCTGTGCGTAAACGCGATAACGTTGTCCGGTTTTTTGTTCTTTTCAATATATTCACCCTACAGCCTGCTTCCTACAGTCTAAAATTATGGCTGGGTGGAACGAAAGTCAGTTACGGAAGTATGACATAAAAGTGGATAAAATACCTATCCTACAGTACGATGATCCAAAAGTAGACTCGCTTCTCAGCAATAATGTAAGGAACTAAGTATAATAATTTAATTGTTATCTCAGAGTTATACAACGCAAGTCCTAAACAAATAATTTGCAGTTGAACAATTTCAATAAATAAAATTTAAGATTACAATACAAAATATTATTGAACTTAAGGGGTTTGGTTACCAATATTTATTGTCTCTGTCTTTCACTCATCCATCATAGTAAAAACTATACATTTTCACGTGTCCATCAGCGTAAAGTCTACATGAGATAGAATAGTAAACTTTTTTTGATTTAATTTTAGTTATTTTTTAAACACAAATTTAAATTTCAAACATTCAAATGCTAAAAAAAGCTTTCCTTTTGGTGACGTCCTTACACCCAAATTCATTTCATATTTTTTTTTCAGGTATAGTAATTTTTTAATAATTATTAACTAAAATAAGTATAGTATATTTGTATATTGTAGTATAGTAAGAATTATTTGATAAAACAATACTCTATAATATTTTTTAGCTAAACATTATGAAATTCGTTTTATTGATAATATAGAAAAATTACATTGTATTCTAATTTTAGTATACATTTTATTCCCCCAATGTCCCATCATACTTACAACGATATATATTTTTAATTATTGATAGTGTAGAAAAGGATTGTTCACTTTCACAGTTGATAACTATTAACTAGTATAATTAAAAAAATTTGGATCGTTTCATGGTATAGCACCCGAAAGATCATCTTCAACAATCATTTTATCATTCATACAAGTCTTGTCATTCATCGAACGATTATATTTATTTCTTTGGCGGATCGGGAAGCACGTTTGATAACTACAATAACAAGTTACAAGTTAAACGTGACAAGCAATGACCACTATAATTTTGTATCTTTATTAAAGTATTTAAGTCTATTTTGATACAATAGAAATTTGAAATTTCTACTTAATAATGTTTTATTTATTTGATCATGCCATTTTTAAATTTAAAAAAAAAGTTGGGTCTAGTGGATGTCGTTGCTCTACAGTATTACAAGTGATCACTGCTATAATGTTGTATAATTATCAATGATACAAATATTGTATGAGAAACGATTCTGACTAAGACGGAGTCAGTCTAGGTTAAACAAAATTTACAATCTATGGTATTAAAAAAAATGACTTTAATAAATTCCAATTAACATATAACAAATCCATTAGGTACTTTAAAGTTTCACCAACAACAAATGATACTAATTATAAAAGTATTAAGTTCAAGTAGGTCCCCAAAATATTATAATCACAACGAATAACTAGTTTTTAATTGTAATTCTCAATTGAACTAAAAAATAAACTGTGATTGTATATTTTTTAGATTTTTCGGTAAGAGAATTAACTACTTACGTGGAATCTTGTTTTAAATTTTCAATCCTTAGCTATAAAAACTGAACATTTTATAATTTATTAATTACGATGATTAATAATTTTCGAGATTTTGAAAAATTCTATCAAAATTCGATGTTAAAATGCTTATAAAAAAAAATTGTGCCTATGTATTTTTATTATTTTTCAACTGATATTGTAACAATATATCAGGAGCCTTGTATTAAATTTTTACACTTTTTGGCCCAACAGATAAAACTTAATTGATATTTATAGAAAAAAAAAACTAAAAAAATTGAAAACTGAAAATGTCCGTAAACGGCTCAAAAAGTGTCAAAATATTTTAAAATTGTAGGGTGTATAGGAAATGCTAATATAAACATTCAGTGAAATTTCATGTATCTACAGTAATTCGTTTTTTAATTACAACAAAAAAAGGAAATTGCCACATGAGAAATCGAGTGAATATCCAATGTTGTAAAAATTTGAATTTCAAACGCTCATAAAAATTTAATTTGACTTTCCGGTAGAAATTTTTTATTGATAAAGGTAGACAATCTTATGAGTAATCTTGTATTAGATTTTCAAATCTTAGATTTAAAAAGAAAAATTTTTACGAATTCTTAACTCAAAATAATTTGCTAATTTTCGTGATTTTTCCATATTTTGTCAATTTTTGAACTTTAAATGCTTATAAAAAAAATTGTGACTAAGGATTTTTAATATTTTTCATCTGCCTTTGAAACAACATATTAGGAGCCTTCTATTAAATTTTCAAGCTTTCGCAACCAACAAATAAAATTTTATTGATATTTCTAGAAAAAAACTAAAAAAAAACTAAAAATGAAAATGTCCCTAAACTGTTCAAAATAAATCAAAATATTTTGAAAATGTTATCGTGTATAGAAGATGCAAATATAAACAACCAGTGAAAATTGCATGTGCCTACGGTCATTTGTTTTAAAGTTACACCAAAAACCAAATTCAATTTTCTGAAAAATCGATTGTGCGTAAAAATTCCCGTTTTTCCTTAATTTTTCTTTGTTTTCCCGGCGCTCTTGAAAACTACTGGGAATTTAATTTTGACCTCCCCAATGCACCAACGATATTCACTTTCCAATCGAACAAGATACTGAAGTCGAAAATCGAAGCATTATTTCGACTACTTATCGTGTACACAGACACAAAAAAAATAAAAAAAAAATAAAAAAATAAATAAAAAAACACACATCATTGTAAAATCAATACATTCATCGTTTCACTCAGAATCTAAAAACGAGTCGACACATTGTGGTCCTTTTCAACTTGCGGCTATAGCCCTCCCTCGCACCCCCTAGCTCCACTCACCATTTGATCCAGTCCTGCATGCACATTTCAAGCTGAACTCAAATCTGTTTTTATATATTTATCACTTTATTACATCAATTTATTGTATTGATGGACGCAAAATGGGTAATTCTTACTATCTACTGGAGAGATACATTATCAATTTATTTATTTTAACTTTTAAATTACATTTTTATTTTTTGATATTCTATATTGTTCTAAAACATTTTTTGATTGTCTTTTATAAATTAATTATTTAGAAACCAGTACTAATCAAAGGATCCAAATTAGTTTCTCAAGTGTTAAAATGGGATTTGGATTATTTAACGGAGCATATGAATTCAATATGCTGTAATGTATTGGTATCAAAAAATCATAAATTCAAGTATTATGACCAAAAGAAAATCACCCCAAATATGACGTTCAAACCAATCAGTCGACCGAGCCCTATGATATTTTCTGAATTTGCTAAAAAAATAAAAGATTGGAAAAAAGGAGACTCCAGGTAATATTTGTACAATAAACAAAGACAAACATTTTTGTTTTAAATATAGTTTACTAGTTTTATGTGATATAAATAGAATTGGTTGTATTTAAGAATTCATTTTAAAATCGCTTCAATTTTTAAGACATAGTGTTATGTAAATAAAATAAAACATAGAAATATTACAAGAAACATTAAAATTTACATATCATTCATCTTAATTATACTATGATAAGTTTTGTACATATAATATGCTAATAATCTTCTTATTCATATTATGTACTAGAACACATTTAACCAATAAATAAACATACACAAATTTATTGATATTTTGTAAATCACAACAGGTGTTTGTTGAGGCTGTTAGCTACTTTTGGTTTTTTATTCAATGGTGGTGAAGAAACACATGGATTGTACATGTTATGGTTATAAATATATTCTACCTAAAATTTTATTTGAATCAGTAAGTATAAATGAAAAACTGAAAAATATTATTATTATATGGTTAACCAAAAAATCTATAGGATCCTCGGGCGTATTTTTCATAATTTCCAATACTCCATTTATCAATATAGGATTTACACATTTCATTAGAAAATCTATTATTTTAATATTTTCCAATGAAAACTCTTCTTCTTTTTTAATAATTGGTTCTTTCAACAATTGAGCCAGCTATATCAACATATATAAAATTGTATCAATAGTGTAAATATTAAACAATGCTATTTAGATTAACAATGTTAATAGTTATATGCTCTGTCTAGCTAGAGAACGTGTTGATTCTGCAAACCCCCCCGCATCACCCTGCTATTCAAACTGGTTCCTCTATGGCAGGGTGTCACGTGGGGATTTGCAGGAGAACTGATTGTAGTTGGCCCTCCGACATGTTCTCTCACTGGATAAAGTATAATAAATTTACATTTTTTTCATAAATGTCTTCTTCTACTGCTAAATCTTTATTTTCAATTATTGTCGGATGATCGACATACATTTTATTGATCACAGCTTTTATGTCACTTACATTGTTTTCAGCTTCATCATCTAATAAATGTTTATTAGTTATATTTATGATTGAATATGTAACTTGCAATCCTGACCTTTTACTTTTACTGGCATACTTATTAAAAGTGAATTAAACAGTCTATCAAATTCTTCATTATTAACAAATATGCAATTACTTTGAGTTATTAATAAATACTCTTTATACATTTTTGGTTTAAACAAAACTTCTAAGTAATCAATTAAATCACGATTTTTTCTTATTTCTATGTTACTAAAAATATTATTAAGAAAATTATCATATTGTGTAAGTTAGTTAATCTTACTCATTTTCTAGAATATGGTTCATAATTTCGCTTTCAGTATATTTAGAATCTAAGGACGGCCAATTAAGTAATTTATCTAATGCATCATCACACACTAGTTTTGAATTTAAGTTGAAGTTTTCTGCTTCCAAATTATTCTTCACTTTTCTCATAACATTATTTCCAACCATAATTACATCAATGATAATTGCTAAATTTATACAAGACTAAAGTTTTTTTCTTAGTATAATTTCATAAATAATACTTGGATGTATTTCATCTTCAAAAAATTGAAAATCGTTTTCTTTATTGGACTCATATTGCTCCAAATCAAAAAGATTTTGAGCTTGTTCAATATTTTCAAGAAAATTACAAATTATATAACCACATTTATTCACTCTATTTTTTAATATCTTATTTTTGATAAACCTATATTAACATATAAACTTTTATGTTTTATTTAGTATATGTAAGTTTAATTAATCATATAGATAGATCATTCTTAACTTACGGTAATATATATTTATCAGAAATTCTGCCATTGTCTTTAAAATATATTTTTTGCTCTTCCAATAATTGTTTGTTACTAAGTGTGTGTAGGTTATTTGAGTTATTTTCTTTAAATTCTTTACTAGACTCATCATATTTTATATCTAATTTTTGCAGTGATGCATTATTAAATGTTGAAAGTTTTTGATTTACTAATTTATTATTAATTAAATTTTGTAACCAATATGAATCAATATCATAGATACCATTTTCCTAAAATTAATGATTAAATTATTTAGATTATAAAACAATATTTTTTTATTATTATTTGATTAAAAATTAAAATTGCAATAGTATGTGTAAAAGTAAAAATATAATATATTTTACTAATATATTGAAAAATTCTTCGCTGATTGTTACTAGATCAACAAAGTAAAGATTATATGTATATGCTAATTTTTTGGCAAAATATATAATTTCTTGTGGTCCATTAATGATAATGTTCTTCTTCTAAAAATAAATATACATTTTAACTGAGATTTGGTTTTTCATTTATTAAATTTTCTTTCTAGTTAATTCATTATTTTTGTAACTGTTTAAACTACAGCAAAATTAAGTTTGTATGCTTTAATAGAATAAAAAAAAGATCTAAAGAGGAATTATTAAAGTATATTGCCTCTATGTATATGTTTTTTTTTCCATAAATTTGCTTTATTATGATTTACCATAAACTGTCTTTTGTATTGACTTACTTGAGAATTTTGTTTGTAATATTCAAAGATTAATGTGTCGGTTTCAGTAAAAATCCGAGGAATAGATTGGTCAAGTCCCATAAATTGTGTTATAAAATTATCAATAACAGGAACTATTTGAATGGACATAGTTATCATGTCATAGACAGTTTGCTATAAAAAAAAAAAAACATTGATTACAAATCTTATAATGTAATGTATTATACTATTATCACATAGTTCTTATTTATTGCTAGTATAATTTTAAAAATATGTCGAATATTATATCATTATGTGTATTATCGTTTATTATATTTTATTTCAAATTTATATAATAATATACTGGGTGATTCTTTTATCAAACAACACTCATTATTTCAAAGAGTGTAAATTTTTTTGAAAATATTTTTTACATAGTTTCAAGTCGCTTATAAAGCAACGTTTTTATAAAAAAATTATATTTTTAAATATTTTTTATCCTTATATTTTTTATGTTTTTTACTTTTTTAAATGAAAACATAGGGTTTTAATTTTATATTCTAAAGTAGAATATTTTTCTTAGTATTTTGATACATTAAAATCGAATTTGAGGCGAGTAGTTTACGAGTTATAAGTATTTAAAGTTTAGACGAGCGGAGTGGAGTGGTTCGGGGTTACCCCGCGAAATGTTTGTCCACTTCACCGCTCATCAAACTTTGAATATTTAAACTCATAAACTACTCAACCCAAATTCGATTTTCATGTATCAAAATACTAAGAAAAATATTCTGCTTTGGAATATAAAATTAAAACCCTATGTTGTTATTCAAAAATGTAAAAAACTTAAAAATGTATAAGGATAAAAAACATTTAAAAATATAATTTTTTAATAAAAACGTTATTTTATAAGTGACTTGAAACTATGTAAAAAATATTTTCAAAAAAAATTACACTTTTTGAAATAATGAGTGTTGTTTGATAAAAGAATCACCCAGTATATATTTTTTCCCAATAAAATGTTATAGAAGAAACTTACAGTAACCCATGCATTTAGGCATAAACTTATGTAATCACAGTATATGTAATTTTTCTTTTGAAATTGCTTTATAATGCACTGTGTTATACTCCGTAGACTGATCGTAGCAGTTTCAATGCCGACTATATATGGTTTTGTCACTTTATCATAATACAAAACCAGATTTTTGACAATTCTAGAATGAATAAATTATATTGAAAACAATCTAAATTATTGTAAAAGTTATATTTAACTTTGCAAGATTTTCTACATGTATAATAGGTAAATTATTGTCTTCTTTTGGTACCAATAGTGGTTCTGTGTCATTAGAAACCATGTGATATATGTATTTTAACATGTGTTCACCTTGACCATAAACTAAACCTGGTGCTAAGATTATTCCATAAAAATATCCACTGTACTGTAAAATAAAATTAGAAATATAATATGTGTATAAAATATTTTAAATGCTTGAGGTTGTCTTGTGTACTTTATCATTTAGTGATAATATACAATTTTCCATTTCATAAAATGATTGAAAATTTGGGTGACAAATACGATCTTTATAATCATCTTGAGTAATTGGATTTGTATTCTTGTTAAAAAATTAAAAGAAGTTTAAATTTATGTTCAATTTGGTCAGTATAAAATAATGATGATTAGGTACTTTGTTTTTAGTTAAAGCCCATGTTTGTATACTTGATATAAGTATAAACACTCTAATCCCACTTTCTCTTGCTGCAACAGTTTTTGGGTGGCATTTTATATATTTAATTTCTTCTATTATACCTTGATAAAAAAAAAAAATATTTTAGAGTTTTGAATTTAATTTTATAATAATTGAATGAATTATTTTACTTTTTAATGCTTTACTAGCTTCAGTTATCTGATTTTTGGCCAACGATATATCATACACAACTACTGCACATTTTTGTATTTCTTTCATTAATAATAGTTTGTTATTTGAAATAATCAATTTTTTAACATGTTTCAGGTATTCATACTAGAATTAAAATTAGTTATTCTTTCTCGAAATATGTTAACTAAAATTATGTTTATACCCTTTCATTATTGATGTTCAATTTATTTTTTACTGTAGTCACTATATCATATTTTATTGGTTCAATGTCTTCCTTATTCACTTTTATAGTAGGTTTCTGTATATAATACATTGGTAGGATTTCAATGTTTTTCATGTATTGAAATTCTATTGGCGGTGTATCATCATCAACCTCCTCATTAATATATGTTTTTTCCGAGACTTTGTTTTCTTGAATATCTCTATCATAAGACACTGATTTAACACTGTTTGTTCTTTTATATAATATCGAAATTTGACTTTTTTGTGAGTGAGTGGATTGCAAATCTTGTGTTTTATATTTTTCATTGGGTATATTTTTTTCAGTTTGTTCAGTATCTAGATTTATGAACTCAATGTCCGTAAATAGTGCTTGGCTGATTTCCTATAATTAAACGTAAGTCTTTAAAATATTCTGAAATGTTTTTGATTCTTATCATTACTAATTTGAAACCCCATGAAATGTACATAATATTTGTATTAATATGAATACAATTTCAGAACTTGTTCAAGATGAGATCTATATTAAAAATTATAGGTATAATTAAATTTTGTTGGATGAGTATGCTTTTTATGTACATAAATTATCTTATCTGTATAAAATTATTAATATTTAGTTGCTGTATTTCTACTTCGTCAATTTCAATCTTTTAGGTTGAATAAAATAAATATAAGTTTTTTTTCCATCCCATTTAAATAATTCATTTAATATTTTCTGGACTTTGTTAAATACCATTATGGATAATAATGATGACTGATGGCCAATATCATCATGGCAAATATTTAATACCAATATAATTTTATTTAATATACCTAATGTAACAACAAATGTATTTAGTTTATTTTAAAACTACATATTATAATACCCAAGGTACACTCAATTAATATAAACCAAGCCTATCAAACTTAAGATTACGTGGTACCCGTGTGTATTGTCTCCTTACAAGTGTGTAACATAACAAATGTTACGCTCAGCAGATTACGTTTAGCTCAGTTAGCTTAAAAATTAGAGTGAATTGACCTCTTATAAAACTTTAAGGTAAGATTATTATCTAAGCAATCTCATGAGAATTGTATTATATTTTAATTTTAAAGCGAGTTATAAGTATTTTAAGATGTACAGACAATTTACATAATTAAAATACTCATAACTCGCTTTAAAATCAAAATATAATGAAAATCCCATGAGGTTACCTAGATAATAATCTTACCTTTAAATTGTATAAGAGGTCAATTCCCTCTAATTTTTAAACTAATGGAGCTAAATGTGATCTGCTGAGCGTACAATTTGCTATGTTACGCACTTGTAGGACGGAGACAACACATGCAGGTGCCATGTCCTCTTAATCTAAATATTAAATTTATTCTCATTAAAAATGTTTCAGTTGTATTTAGTTTTCATTTATTATATGATTTATGTATACCAAATCCATATTTAAAATTGTCGTTTTCCACCACTATCAGATTGTATTGTATTTTAATCACAATTAATCGATTATAATAAAATAGTAACTTTTCTAATATTTTTTACAATATAATTATTTACTAACAATAAATTGTTTTCATTAATATTTTATTAAGTTAGGGACATTAAATGAATTTGTATAAATGCAGGTGTAATTTAATTTCTGATTGATTTCGTCTTATCGATAATTACCCAAATATATGTTTATAGATTTACTGCTCAAGCTAAATTAATTTACTTGTATAATATATTTGCCATGATAAGAATCACCATTGTTTACAAATACTCTGTTTGCAGCATACTTAATATGAGCTTCTAAATCAGCAATTCGGTTATCTTCTTGGATAATATGGACCTTTTTTTTAGATGCTTCAAAACCAAAAAAATCATTTTTTTCTTCAAACTCTGATAAATTAATATTGTTAATAATTTCATCTTCATTATTAGTCATATTTTATTTTAGCAAATATTAACAAAACCATTCACATAACATGTGAATCATGTAACACTTTAATAATGAATATGTAATGTTTTTAGTAAAAAAACATTAGAAAAATTATTCTTTACTATATAATTTTGTTGTTTCTATGGGGACATCAGTGAGTTAAAAATAAACAATTATGCTTATCTATAATATTATCTAGTACTGTTACCTACACCAAATAACAAATAATATTGTATTGTGATTTTTCAGATTATACATGCAACAAGTATTGAATAACTCAATTAGCCAACGTATTGTTAGTGATTTTGTTATGTTCAATTGGGATTGGATTATGTCAAAACAAAAGGCGTGTAAATGGGGATCTCTGACATCTAATCTTCTTTTAATTGCACAAGAGGGTAAAACTTAATTAATTATATTAGTTAATAACATAATATACAGTGTTTAATTCAGTGTCAAGTCTTTCCAAATAACTTTGAGTATATTTCTTTGAAATCTGATTATTTTTTATGGTACAATGAAGTATTTCAATTGTTTTTTTATTAGAATTTTCAAATATACTTTTCTATTTACTCAAAATATGTTTCTTAAAGTAATTGTTCAGTATATATTTACACAGATGAGGCTTTGATAAGATTTTCGTTACAACAAGAATCAACAAATTTTAAGTGAAGAAAAATATGTATTACAGCCTGAATTACTTGACTGATTTAATTTAATGCTGTTTGATATAAATACAACAATACAATTTATCATAGAAACTAATCATAATATTTTTTCGCTATAGGTAATGTTACTCCGTGTCATTATGATGAGCAACAAAATATGTTTGCTAGCATTCGAGGGTATAAAAGATTCATTTTATTTCCACCTAGTGAATTTGAGTGTTTATATCCACATCCAGTTCATCATCCGTATGATAGACAAAGTCAAGTAATGATAAATAATTCCTTTGAAAATAATACATATATAATTTGACATGGTTTTCTTTAGGTGGACTTTGATAATCCAGATTACATAAAATTTCCAAAATTTAAAGAAGCTTGTGGATATGAAGTTATAGTTGGACCTGAAGATGTCTTATATATACCCATGTATTGGTTTCATCATGTTGAATCATTGATGCATGGTGGCTGTACAGTTTCAGTAAACTTTTGGTTCAAAGTAAATAAATTTAATTTTAATTATATTTCAAGAACCTATGTATGTGAAATATAGGAACATTAACAATTAACAGGGGAAGAGAGTTAGTAGAAGTATTGAATAAATGAAAGGTGAATTTTCATTGAGTGCAGAAAATTAAGTAGAACGGGAGAAAACAAAACCTTGTGGATAGGGTTTAAGATAATATTATACTTAATGCACCACTGCACCAAGGTTCAACATTAAGCCTAACTCAACCTTTAGTAATGGACGAGACTACAAAAGATATATATGGGGAGTATGGGCCATGATGCATTATGTAATATTAGTAGGAGGAAGCCCTGAAGAATGAATGAGAGACTGGACTTGTGGTGAGCAGCGCTTGAAGAGAATGTACTATCGATTAGTAAGTATAAAACAAAGGCAACCGTGTATGATTTTGGCTCGAGTTATCTAGGAATTGACCAGGTAGGTTATAAAAACTAGGGATTATATAATGTGACTCAATATAATATAATATAATGTGCTCAAGTACTTAGGATTGGTGGTACAAAAGAGATTGAGGGAGGAAATAAAAAATATGATGAAGCGTAGATTATCAAGTGGAGAAAAGTGTCATCGCGTCTTATGTTTTGTGAGAAAAGAGGATACCAATAAGATTTCTTAAGACAGTTTTGGGCCCATAAATGTTGTATGGGTTGGAATGTAGGGGCATAGAGCAGTATAAAAGAGAATGGAACAGAATATGAGAAGATGGATGTGTGTAGTGCATCAACTGTGGATAAAATGACTATGAAGAAGAATAGGTTGAGAATTTTTTTTTGGCAATACGGTTGAGAAGTCATAATTTATGAGAGAAATGATTCAGACTTAGTGAGAGTTATGAAAACGAATGTAGAAAGAAGAAGAGGCAGAGGAAGACCGCAGATGCTAATCGAATGGATAGATAGAATAGGATGATACAAAAATAGTTGGTGTGAATGAACGATAGGTAGGAGATTGAACCCTATGAAGATGAGGATATGGATGAGGATAGCTGACTCTATATAGTTGAAAGTGTAATTCAAGGTAAATTAAGAAAAAGAAAAGAAATTTTTTGTTAAGAGATTTACTAATATAATTTTTTTTAGGCGGGATCCGTTGAAAAAATTGAGTATCCTTTGCTAGACCACCAGAAAATGGTTATCATGAGAAATGTGGAAAAAATGTTAGCTGAAGCATTGCATGATCCAAATGAGGTTGGTAATATGCTGAACACAATTGTTCTAGGTCGATACACGTCTGACACCAACTAATAGTTCCCATTAGGATATATATATTAATTGTAAAAAAAGATCTGATTGAATAATATTTATTCATGCAATAAGATTATTTAATGCTTTTATTTAATATAGAACAAGATATATATTTCAATATTTTCTACTGATGTTAATATTAGTTTTTTTTTTTATTTTAAATAGGATTTTTAGTAATTCTAGGCTTGGTATAATTTGTTAAGCTTTAACAGTCACCAATAGATAAAAAGTGGTATCTACCACTTAGACATATTGTTTGCATGTAATATAAACCTTAGATCATATAAACTAGATTTATAGACTATTGATTTAATATAAGGCATACTAACTTTGATACAGATAATTGATAAAACTTTATATGCATGAGTACCGAGCATTAGTGTACTAACACACCATTCAGATTTTGCCTTAACAGTTCCCACTTGCAAGTGCAATTCTTTTAAATGCAAACGGGAATTGTAAATTATGGTGCCACTTCTTTGTATTTCACATGTGTTTGAGATGAATTTTTTGCGCTATAGTTCTATCCAGTGTATAATATGATCAATCTACTTCAACACATGTTAAACATAAGACATATTTACTAGTCATCCATGCTCTACTATGATTGCAATAATATCTTTTTATAATTGTTATTTTATTGTATTTATATTATAGTAGGGTATGGACAATTCAAATTCACATTATTTGAGTGTGAATCATACTATGGAAATCATAACATTTATATGAATTTTAATATTTGATACTAATAAGAATACATTTTGTACATTGCTTGTACAAAAGGTTTGGTTTTAAAAATGATTTAAAGGCTGAACTTAAAACGTAACTAAACGGAGTTACACATAAGTTTAATAGATAAATAATGGTTTAATGGAATAAAATATTTACCATTTAGGGTACAAAAGTTAGATTATATTAAAACTATTTTATATTTAAAACTAATTTATTATTGTTACTACATTTTTTTTCAAAATCTTTAATTGATTTTTTTTTTTTGTTTAATTTTTAACATAAATATTCTATGATATTCCTAAACTTGTATTGTTCATAAGTACTAAATACAGAGTTATAATGTTTAATTTTATGCAATTTCTTGTTTTAGGATTGTATTATAGCATTTCATAGACTTATGTGTGTTATTTAACATTTGTAAATCTAAAATAATTTTTTGTACATAGTTTAAGCTATTATTTTTAGTTCCTATAATGTATCGAAACATCATTTTATTTATAATTTATATTGAAATGTAATTTCACTGTGATTTTAATATTATTTTATTTGTATTTATTTTGCTAGTCTTTCTGTAATATTTTAACTTATTACCTAATCAAATTAAATTATTTTTCAAGTACTTATTTTTGTTTGATGCTGGTATTACATTGTAATATTGTATAGACAACTGTATTTAATTAAACACAAATAAAAACTAAAATGGTATATTATTTTAATTATGTTAATAGGGTAGGTAATGGAACTAATCAGTATATGACAGTACTAATAAAAATAATAAAATAACAAATTATTTTTGAACAAGAGGTAATTTCTTTGTTGCCGTAACTAATAAAAAAAAATCTTCATAGTTGAAATGAGACGATTGACAGTTATTATGCGAGGCTGGATAAGTTTGAATAGAAAAATGTAAGTTTAATTTGAAGTTATTATTTTTTTATTTAACTTGTAACTTTTACATACTTAATTGAAAATTGGTTATATTTTTTTTTTAAAACTGAATACTTACAAACTATGCTAAGCACAGTAAGTAAATTAAATAAAAGTTCAACACAACAAGCAAAATATATAGTAAAAATAATACATATAAGAGTAATATTAACAGAAAGAAGGTCCATCTAATGATAAGCCCTATGAAATAACAGAAGTTATTGGTTATTTAGGTAAATTTTTTAAATTTTCTTTAAGTAATTTTTTCAACAAATCATGTCATTATGGCACCAATATCTCTTTAAAAGTTGAACTGAGCTAAGCCCTCCCCCTATTGTAATGCCAATACACGGTGATGGGGCCCTACACTATATATGGCATAGGTTTCACCTTAAGAGTCAATATGTACCTCAGTTTTTTTCCACCCTTTTTGGTATGGATGATATTAAGTATATATTTATTGCCATGAAGTATATACGAGCAACATAGACGCGTATTTTGTTGTTAGCACAATGCACAAAATATGCGAGCCCAAAACTACAGCTCATTTAGGTTTGCTAACGAATAACCATGATTGTATTATTACTATAATAAAATATTAAACTGAAATCCGATCATTACAAAACAATAATAATTTATTATAATAAAAGAATTGTTAGTAAGACAGATATAGTACTTAGTAAATTGTTGATGATGAGTACATGGTATAACTATATAAGTATATATATTTTTTTAATAATGATAAATTAAAATACAATTTAACAAATTTTTAGAAATATAAAAATAAAATTTCGTTAGCAATTTAAAAAATGTATTGATTTAAAAATATATAATAATTTTTGAAAAGAATAACACAATTTAATTATTTTATTACTAGTATACTTACAAAAGGCACCATTTTGATTGTTTAGCAATGTGTTCTGACTAGATACCAGATATATAATAAATTATAGATATAGAATAAAGCTAAATTAGTAAAAAAAATGTATACAATACTAATATAATTTTAAATGTTTGTGAATATATTTAACTAAAGTAAACAATGTTTGAAGTTTTACTTTTAGTAAATGATTATTCAATGCAGGTCTCTCAAACATTTCATTATAATTTTAAAAATTAATTTCTAATCAATAACAAATAAATAGTTAGTTTTACAGTTGTACATATAGTAGACATTATGTTAACATATTAAAAAAATGAAACAGTAATATTGTCGCTTGGAGTTTTACCTTAGAACATAATTTTTTTCAGACTGTCTTTAAATATATTTGTTGAGCCAACAGTTTCATAATATTAAATGTGTAATTATGTGTTTATTATCAAAATTGTATAAGAAAACAAAAAAATCACAACGACACAATCTAATTAAGTGTTTAACCAAACGGTTTGTTGGTTATAATATACTATTAACAAACATCTCTGTTATTTAAACTTATTCAAAGTAAAAAACTTGCATTAAATAATAGCACAGTAATGAGTATAGGTACAAAATTTATATTAATACCACATGCATATCTAATAGTGATTCACCGTCAAAAGTGTATTAGGTATGTATTGCATGTGGTGACAATTGACAACTTTAACATATTATATATATTTAAAATATCTATTTAAAATTTTTTTTGACTAGAGGCATTGGTTTGCCGCTGTCAACCAAGTCTTTTGCGGTACTAGCAGCAGTCGGTCTCATGAATCCTAACGATTTCCTGGAAGGTGACATTCCCGTCATACCGGACCTGCCTTGGTTCTCTTTGAAGCTAGTGCTCAATGGTTTTGGCTTTGGTTTGTTAACAGGAACTGCAATGCTACTGCCACTGCTACTGCTTCTGCTAGCCATAGGCGTATCGCGGTTGTGCAGTTGCAATGCATTTAGTGGTTTTTTGGACTTCAAATCCGTTGTCAGATCATTGATAGCTCGTGTATAGGTTGCAATACCGGGTATCTTTTTGACCGTGCTGACAGAGTTTGAACTATTTAGCGAACTCCTAGAGCTACGCAAGCTACTTTTAGAACTTGATCTTTCAACAGGCTTTGGTGCACTTATGGTTCTAGCTATAGTTGGCTTTTGAACGGCTGTTGATTTTATTGTAGGCTTAATTGAAGGAATAACTTTCACCACTGGTTTCTGATTAGTCAGTGGAGTTCTAAAACTACTCGTTCGTTTTGGCAACTCAGTTTTTCTTACTACTATAGGTTTAATAGATGACTTGAGTGAATTTGTTTTTCTTAGGGTAGGTGCAACGGGTCCACTACTGCTATTAGTATCGTTACTTCCGCTACTATCAGCTCTAGCTATCGTCTTTGGGATTGGTTTTTCGGTTTCAAAGTTACCCGAAGAAGTCTCCTGACTTAGTGATTCGGCTGACATCAAACTCACAGATTCTTCAAAACTAAAAAACAAAAAAATCAAAATCAATAATAATATAAAGTGCAAAAGAAAAAAAAAAGTATATATTAGCAGTTTTATTTACCCTTCATCATTTAAATCGTGTTCAGTTCTAATTTTTATAGGTGGTGTTAAAGCTTGCACTCTGATCTCTGGTATGAACTCACTTTTTAAGTTTATTGACGATTCATCATTATCATGAAGATTTATCTTAGTCACTCGATCCAGAGCTTTTGGCTCTAAAATACTTTTCTCTGGGGTAAGCTGTCCATAAATCTTTACAGCTTTCATAATATCACCATGATCCACAACACTTTGGTTTCTGGTCGTCCTAGGCATAGACGAGTATAGTCGGTTTCTAGAAAAGTCCTTATTATCATCTTCAGATGTTTTGTACATTAGTTTATCTTTCCACTTTTTCAACCGAACATCTGTTTCCTCGTTGGCTTTTGGTGATTCGTATCCTTCTGATTTTCGACCTAAATCATCTTCTGGATTTTTTCTATATCTCCGGGTACGCCTGGCTGCTGAAAATCTATCAAATTGACCGTCTCCTAGATTTTCTTCTTCAACAGTTTGAATTTTTGATGGAATTGACTGAGGTTTTACAATTTGCCTACGTGATGTTGGTGGTGTTTCTATATTATCTGAATCAATGTCAATTTTATCTGTTACATCCCCTGGATTAGTAGAATCTGAAGTTTTTCGTCTAGGGGCAAATGGTGGTAATAATTTTTCTTCCGGTGAATCCGGACAGGCTAATTGTTTCCTTAATAAGGATGGACTTCTTATAATAGGTTTTATTTCGGGCTGATCTGTTCCTCGAATATAAACTGTTAAACAATCTTGGTTTGATACATTCTGTCCTAGTTTTTCAATAAAACCTTTTCTTCTGTCTTCTTCTTTGATAGCCTAAGTATGAGTTATAATTAATAACACTGAACTAAGTTTTTTA